GTAAGTGCAGTTAGCATACTTTCAAGAAAAAAATGCCTTTCTCTAAGACACCATGTTACTCAAAACTACTTTGAAACATAGGTAAGTGAAACATCTGGGACTATATGTTTGAATCCAAACATTTAAATAGATGTTGGTGCCTGCTTCTTTAATTATTGTGTAGTTACCATCCTTCAAGGTCCTTTGGTGTAAGTTTTTTTGTTGTTATTGCTGGGTTTTTTTTGGTTTAAATGTCTTCACCTTGCTTTCAAGCGCTGGATATAACAGGAGGCTTCATGTCTATCTGTGTGGTCATTTCCACAGCTTGGTTTGTAAGGTGCAGTCAGAAGTTTCATGTTGGAATTGGTTGCGATTTTAACTATGAGTCTCTAAACCATTTATGAACTGTAGTGGAGATATTGCCCATTTATATAAACCGTAAAATGCAGAGTTTAACTGTTGCCCACAGTTTACATAGAAGCCAGTAAAGTGTAACTTTTTGCCTGTCTTATAAATCAATGTAATTACATATTCAACTTTAATTACTGGTGCGTCTGTATTGGCAAGGTTTATATGTTATATTTTATGCAAGACTACGATTCCTATTAATATTTAGCAGCTAACTATATCATTAATTACTCTAAAATCTTTCCCCTACCATCTTTTTAATGGAGCTGAGAGAGTGGAAGTATTAAAAATTGATGTATTGTGGATTTCAGAAATGTGTCTGAAGCTTTAGAAATGCCTGGCCTTAATCAGTGGTGTCAAACGTGGCAGTTTCTTGTTTACTAAATAGTAAAACATGTATCTTGGAGGTATTGTTTCCCAGGTTATTTATATAATGATTAGTAGTGTGATATCTAAGTAGGCTTAGATTTATGTTTACTGGAGGATGATTTTTAATGTATATATACAATTACGATCTCAGTTTTGTTCTGTATTTAACATAGCTGATCTGATCTGCCTTTTTTATTCCATTTCCTCCTTCACATCTTTAGTGTTCATTTTAATTTCTAGAGTGGGATATTCAGCAGTAATAGTAAATGAGAGCAAACTCCGTTTTTACTTACACTCCGGTGTCTGGAGTATCCATTTTGATCTGACCTTTTTTGGAGAAATATTTTGCTAAGTTTTTCATTTGTTTGGCGTGTTCATACATTTATGATCATACAGAAATCTTTATTGTCATGCATTTAATTGTTTTATTACACATTTCTTCTGCTTGCCTTTGAAAATAATACATTGTGAACATTAATGTATTTTATCAGGTTCCAAACGATTACTTTTTCAAAATGGAAAAATTTGTCTTTTGGAAGTGTCTTTAGATGTATTAAATAATACAAAAGAAGTAATAAAACTTGAAGTAGAAAGAACATGAGTATATGCTCTTGAGAGTAACACTACTCTAAAACAAGTAAAGTGAGCAATCAGACAAAAGTTTTTATATCCCATGCTTTATGCTATCAACCATGCAGTGGGTAGCTTGAGGCCTTTTACTTTTAGCAGTTCTCCTGAGTATGCTAATGCTCTCTTCCTGTATAAAATGCCAAGACAATAAAACTTTAAAGAGCAAACAAGAGTTAGATCATGTGTGTTAAAAACAGCTACTTTACAGAAAAGAATGACACTTGCTATTAAAGTTGTTTTGTAACTGTTTGGCAGATATGTTTACATATACTGTGCACTGTCTGACATACTGCTGGATAAACGGAGTTATCTGTGCATATGATTATGGAGATGTGGCTGCATTGTATAGTTATGTTTATGGCTGGGAAATTGAATGTTGTAGCAATGCTTGTCTATAAAAAAGGCAAATAATTTGAGTTACATCTCAACTCAGTATTCAGTCTTCCTCTCTCATTTAAGGGAAATGCAAGTAGTTAGTCGTTTGTCAAAAACTGGCAGTTTCAGGACTTGCTTTGGTGACTCTTTTGAAACTTACGTCTGCAAGTTGCTTAGTACTTGGTAGACTGAAGCAACAGAATGCAAATGTACTGAGATACCGCTTAAGAAAGGGGCTATGCTGTTTCATACTCTGCACCTAATTTAGTGTAAGGTTCCTGGGCTTCTGTCAGACTGTGAACTGTCAACCAAAAGCTATAGGCTATGACTAGAGAACTGCTCACTTGTGAAGTTTTTGCCTTTCCCTCACTGAGGGAACAGAGAGTATGAAAAAGGCAATGCAGTCTACAAGGAGCTCTGACAAGTCAACAAAGTGAGAAGGTTGTGCAGGAGGCAGAGGACCAAGGAAGAGGAAGGCCGCCTTCCTTGCCTCCACGTCCATGTTGCCAAGCACCTCCTGTTTTGAGCGGTAAAGGGCATTAGCTAAAAAAGAAGAGAAAAGAACAGCATAAGGAAAGCATGACATAAGTAAAGTAAATAAGGAGTATGGCAAGAAATGAAGAGAAATAAATCTTAATTTTCACATTGCCAACACAAATTGCATAATCCTGATTTTTTTTTTTTTAAATACAGAATAATTGATAGGCTAGAAATAATTTATATTTTACTGCCACCACCATCGTTCTACTTGCATCTCCTGAAGAAAGTTCACCGAGGAAGTCTAGGTGCTTCTCCCCTAAACAAGTATTCTTCGTGATGATAATTAGAGCACTTGCCTATAAAGTAGATGGCTCTATTAATCTTCAAGGAGATTAAACCTGCATCTCCTGTATCCAAGGAAAATATGCTAGCCACCACACCATGGGTATGCTGAGCAATTACATTCTGTCTGTCATCTTGAAGCTGGAAAGCAGCCAGCAAAGACAGAGGCAAGGTGTGAGGGGAACCGGCTGTGTACAATTTGGAGATCAGAGCATTCGGTCAGGAAGGGGCTGGATTTGGGTTCTAGACCAAGCTTACCAGAATATACATTTGCTGTTAGACCATCAGCGGGAAAATAGGAAAACGGTCCCAGTGGGCAAGCGTGTCAGGTGCACCGTTTGTTAGAATTGTACGGTGTGTAGTTTTATCAGAAAAAGATAGGATGGTACATTCATATTAATTTTTTTAGCAGCACAAATTTGTCATCTTGTAATAATGGCAAGTGCATGTTCAGTAGTCAATATTTCTTTGCTTTGAGTATGAGAGCATTATCAAAGAGATTTCTGATGTTGCAATGCTTCATATTGAGTGTTAGAAAGTGGGGAAATTATTCCCGTGTTTGGATTTGAACCTGGTTCTTCACACCTGGTTTTCAGAAACAGAGTAATGAGAACATTAAGAGTGATCAGCTTACCCAGCCTGTAGACAGGTATCTAATGTAGGTGGGTGAATCAGCCTACTTAGGAAATAGTCTCTGTTCATTGACTAGAGAGATAGGTATGTAACTTCAGCTGAATGTCTAACATTTAAATGGGTGTTAAGTGCAATGAATCCCAACCAGTGTATTTACAACAGTGGCACTTTAAAAGCTTTCCAGTTTTGCTTGGGTAATAATATTTAATCTGCTTTATTTCTTATGCTTCTTAGACATAGAGAATACCTAGTGGCCTCTTGAAAATACTGAGGTAAGTTTTAGGTGATCAGTATAACCATGGCCTGGTAGTTAAGAAATCTAATATGCTAATAATTGCATATGGCATCTGAAATTTTCTGCTGCGTTCCCAGGTTCCATTTGCAGTCTGATGAAAGGCAATAACTCCATGGTCCTGCAACGTTCCACTAGTGGGATCCCAAAGCCTAGATTTACCTTCTCTGTTTCAACAGTAGTAAATCCAAGTTCTGCCTTTGTTTAGTCTTCAAATCCAGTTCCTGGTAGGTTTACTTGTGGACCATAAGTGCTCCCTCGACATAAATCTTCCCTGAGAAAATATATTACTCATTGTGGGCATATGTTCTTTGTCACTGCAGGCACGTGTTCATATGTTCTGTTCTAACTTTCATTTTCCTCTGATGTGTCAAACAATTATCTTTTCATTTAAATCAACACTTAAGACTGTTTCTCCCTTCCTTTTTTGAAGATGGAATACTTCTCCAAAATTTCTGTGAGTTTTAGCTGATAAGCCATAAGTTTCAGGTTAATAGCAGCAAAGACAATGGAAAGTTACGACTTTCCATTAATTTTATATATTAAAATACTGTTATTTATGCAAAACTAGATGCTGACTATCTTGCATAGAAATTATCAGTTTGTCGCCCCTCCTAATTCTGCGAGTAAATGGACGAACATATCGATGCAAAGAATTGTTACTGTCCTTGCCTTATTCTGCTGCCAAGCTGTGACTACTGATTCCCCCCCCTTAGCCACCTTACTCCCTCCCCCCCAAAAAAAAAGGGTTAAGAAAGCCTGCAAAGAATGGAGAACTTTTGAGAACAGAGAACTTTACAGATTTTTCTTGCTAAGTAAGGTGACTGACTGGAGGAAAGTTCCATTAGTCCCATACTGATGCAGCTACCATGGGATCAAAAGTGAACACAGAAGACGGGTTTACTTAGTTAGCAGACACATTAAACGCATCATTTTTGGCATCTTAACTTTAAAAACAATTGCAAGAACAACTCCTCGTCATCACATGATTGCCCGCCAGAAAAAAACATCACGTTCAAGTATACAGTTATAGCATAAAAAGCTACTCTTGCTGTAGTGGAGCCATGGTGACTGGCAGTGAATGTGAAAGGTAAAAAAGTACTGGTTTAAATCACAGAAAGAAAAAGTACACATCTTTGTGGTATAAATACAGATTTGTAAAGTAAAAAAAGCCCATCCGAACAATTGCAGTTAAAACTCATGGATATGGGAAACTGAAAAAAATGTAAAACTTTCATAGTCCCTGAAGCAATAACGATATTGGACAAGACATGCAATGATATTCAGGAACAATACGGTAGTGCATGCATTAGTGAAGACACAACTTCTTTTTCACCTGTATGTCAGGGCTCATATACTGCTGCAGAGTTTTGGAGGGATTTGAAAGTCAGTTCCTTTGGAGCCAGTAAGTTTAAATTCCTAAATGAACAACAGGGATCACTATGAAGTCAGCTCTGTGCTGACTGTTATTTTTCCTATATCTCTATGATAG